TGAATCCAGTGGCGTAGTGATTTTTTCAAATAAAAAATCGCTAATAAAAAATCCCGATTTTCGACTAAGAAAAAATATCGTAGTATGCCCTGAAACTTCAATAAACATTTCAAATTTTGTCCCAAGGTTGACCTTTTAGTACTTGACATTTAAAAAAAAATTATTAAAATCGGTTCACAACTTCAAATTTTAGGGGGGTGTTTGCATTAAAAATGGGTCACACTGTAGAAACGTTTGCATTTAGTTGTAGTTGATATTGATACGCCTTATGGCCCATATAACTTTGATAAACAGTATACACACCACCACCTGCCGATTGGTAGCATCCAGAGGAGAAATATCGACTTTGGGTACGGCAAGATTGTGTTCCCGATCGTCACGTCCTGTTTTATAGGTTATATTTCCAGTTATTTCCACCTCGAGGTTTTTTATGAACTTGGGAAAGTCAAGAACAACGACAATATATCCCAGAGACTGTATTTCCTCGGACTTGTATACGTTTTCTGAAATTCTTTGGCAGAATTTATCGTTGCATTGAAAGCCTTTAGTGGTTTCATCTGTGTTGATATTGACAGTGTTCACTTCATAGGAGATCGACTTCGATAATGTCCACTTCAAGAATACTTTCATGTTTGTCAAAGGCCTAAAAATAAAAATACTAAGTAACAGTAGTCTTGGTTGTCAAACTGAACTAGATCTTGTTTATTTTTCCAAAGAAAGGATGGTAGCGATCAATTTTAAAAGAAGTAACTCTATACATAGATGTGTAGATCATGCAAAGAAGTAACTTTCAGACACAAACTGAAAGGAAAAGCCCTCCTGAAACAGCTGCTTTCATGTAAACATTGAATTACACGAAAGAAGAATTCTTTCGAAACAAATACTTTTATATGAACACTGAATTATACAAAAAACAATTTTCTCTACTCAGTTTCTATTCCAAACAATCGTTATGGAATCGAATCAGATATCATTCATAGGATTCCTACACAACATACCAAATGAAAGGTAAACATTTCACTAACATGGAACGCTGTCATCCTCACTGGTAGACATCGATGTTTCGCCGTAAGACACTTGCCTTAGAGCTCTTCATCATCAATATGGATAACATTATGAGAAAACACACACAATTCAGTCATAAATGAAGATTTTCATGTCACGGAATAAGTTTGATCTACTATGTTATCGATGTCTACCAGTGAGGATGACAGTATTCCATAAAAGTGAAATTTTTACCTTTCATTTTGTGTAGAAAACCTGTGAATGATATCTGATTCGATTCCATGAATACAAACTGAATAAGAAACAGTGGTTCTTGTATGATTCAGTGTTCATATAAAAGTATTTGGGCAAAGGTAGCGAAAACAGTTACTTTCAGAATCTTCATGAAACTTGCATAGATGATTCAAAACATGAAAAAAATACTATAGCAAGCAAAATATTCGTGAAGGCCTCTTTCCCAAAAGTTAGTCACTCCTAAAATATAACCCTTTCAATTTATTTCATCAGTTCGGACTTCCATTGTCTGCAGGTAAGATAAGGGAGACGCTACTGTTGTGATGGATACTGATTTCTATGAACAGAAGATCGAAGAGGTGCTTCAGAAAGGAAAATACACGAAGATCCTAAGAGACCCTTCTGCATCAATTGAAAGGAAGTTGTACCAGACTTAGAAAAAATACCAAGTCTATTTTTCGGAAAAAAGAGAGATCATCGATAACACCGCACCACAGTAAGCCTCCTCACTTGTATGGACTACCCAAAATCCACAAGAAGGACGTTCCGCTTAGACCGATCATCAGCTCCAGAGATTCGGCTACTCANCCTCCACAGAACCATGCTTTGATTTCAAATTTTAAATTTCTCACCCCAGAAACAACTGAATGGCGTCGTGTACAAAGACTTCGTTGTCACCCGGTATAATATGTTTTAGATATTCCTCTTAATTAACGTTCTCGATTCATCAACTTCTGCGGTGGAAAATTCGCATGCTCTCGATTTAGATTTGACCCATATTAGCGAAAACAAAGGATCTTCACACCACCCTAAATGGTAGGGACGGCGCAGACTCCATTATTTATATCAAAAATCGAACTGGCTACTGCAGTAGAAATCTGACAATCTCTCAATGAACGCTTCCCTTAGTCCTATTTCCATTCATATCTTCCGGAGGGGTGAGAGAATTTCCTGCAGTTCGCGAGATGTAGGGGCAGTGCATATTGATCTGATCGAGTCTACGAAATAATTATTTGTGTGGTATAAATAATGTGTGATAAGTGGAAGAACTAGTGTTTTTTGGAAACTGCAAGTAAGATAATGTTTCAACTGCATTTTTGTTTTGAGTGTTGGAAAGGTTGCGGTAGGTTCAGCCTTTTGAAATTTAAGTATACAAGTTGGAAGAATTCACGTTGATCAGAGATCAAAAATTTTAGTTCAGATGGTCACAGATAGATAATACGTGTTGATTTATTCACATATTATTTCCTTGTGATTCATTAAAAATAAAAACAGTTCAACCCATGACAGCGATATACAGAAACATATTTGTACCTGATAACGGAGAAGCAATAAATTAATGATACGTTGGCACAATCATTGCCCAAATTAACAGATTACAGAATGGAATCTGCAAACGCAGAAGTTAATTTACAGCATGGCCCAACGAAAACAAGACAGAGTGAATAGAAAACTGAAAATAATACAGTCAATTTTTTTGTCACATAATTGTGACAAACAGCACCGATGTTCATGAAAAAGTCACTCACCCTCTACTTCGAAATTGGCCCTTGACTGGCTCTCGGAGTTAAAAATGTTTCATCAATCAAATCAAATCAAAATATGCTTTATTACCCAAGATCTAAACATCATATTGGCAAAGTATAGTGAAGTAAAACGTGTATATGTGACATTGAATAAACAAATATAGGCTTTAAAATGATAAGAGACAAGAGCACAGTATATGGACAGAACAATATTAGGCCCAGCTAAACAGATACAAATACAGTGTGACCCATTTTTTAAAAGGTCTACCTTGTGACAAGATTTGAAATGTTTATTTAAGTTTCAGGGCATATTTTTTCTAAGTCGAAAATCGAGATTTTTTATTAGCGATTTTTTTATTGAAAAAATCGCTACGCCACTGGATTCAGAGTGCCTGTAAACAGATGTGACCAAAATTTCATGAAAACATATTCATTATTAACATAATTTATGAGTTATGACAACTCATAAATTCGAAAACTCACACTGCTAACAGTTACCCTATATCAACAGATATAGCCATGAAAATTATTTTTTTATAATTTCAACAATAAAGTGCCGCCAGATGAAAAAAAA